TGTGGCACTGTGGTATTATGGCACTGTGCCATGCGGCTTCATTTTGACTTGAGTTTTTGTCGCTGTTTTCCTTTTTTGCTGCTGTTGGCGGCTTTCGTAATGTTTGTATTATCTCATTTTCCATAACTGCCGTTTGGTGGAATGGCGCCTACACAGTGGCAAACGTCAACATGGGTGTGCCATATGTCCGTTGGGTTTTTCCCCCAACCCTTAGGGCACATTACATATGTACATGCGACACCCGCTAACGAAAACGGGCGGTGCGTTGCTGATGTGCTGATGATGAGATGACGCCAAGCAGCGCACAATTAAATTGCGAAATATTCAACGCCTGTTTTCGCCGAGTGGAGCGCGAGAGGAGGGCACTCGTCACACTGAAATGGCTCAAGTCAAACAATCGCTTGCTACGCGTTGATGTGTCCATTTGCCGCTGGATACGACATTCGAAGGACGTGAACGCGGTCGAAACGCGGTTGAAAGCTAGTCAAAAAGTGCGCCTAACGTGTTGCCATACATAACGCAGAAGCGTCGTCTGCAATTCGGTGCAGCCGTTGTCAGCATCATGGGAAATATGTGCCAACATGAAGAGTGAGTGTTAAGTGTCTGAAGCGAGGCGAAGTATGTATTCACAGCCGAAGTCGTTGTTAGTAAACGCTCTGCAAATTAATATCCATCTATCGGCGTATCTTTCAGCAATTTGCACTCCGTCGCTGCTTTTGTTTAAACTTGTTGTGATTGTTGTTTTAACCCCTTGAGGTATGCTACTTATAAGGCGAAAACAGATAGCGCAACAACGTGTCGGCGTAACTTCGTGTTTGTGTACAGTTGCGCGTTTGTGTTCGTTAGCTTTTGTAGTTAGAATTCCGCTTCAGCAGAAAATTTCTTAAAAACTTTTATCTCTTCGAGTGCATTCATATTCAGTGTAATTTGTATTGTGCGCGCTGTAGTTGTTGTTTTGTGAGTAGCAACGAGTATGCAGCAATTACCGCCACTTGGGTTAACTTGCTACAACGCTTCTCCACACCATCGCTCACTCATTCCCCTCCGATGTGGTGTTGACGAAGGCACTAAAGTGGAAGCAACAACTCAGTGTGGCACGCTCTTCGGTGCGCTCTACTTAACCGCTCTACGCCATCTAAAGCTGGAGCGACTTTTTTCCGCGAGATAGGTAGAAAAAAAAAACGGCGCGTAGAGTTTTGCTTGTAGTGGCTAAGTGTGGGGTTCCCAAACGTCGTTGCGTTGATATCTTGGCGTTTAGCGCCAGTGATGCAAAGTGGCCACTTTGGACAGTTAATGTTGATACAATGCCAGCACAAAATTATATTTTAAAGAGAACAATGTGTGCTTAGTTATTTAGTTGTAATAACTTAAATATCGCGG